TGCCAGGCTCCCAGGAGGGCTTCCTACAGTGAGCTGTACTGTGGCTGCAGCAGAAAGGCATGGGAGCGGTGCGTCATGGAGGGGGAAACATTCCTCCTCACGYCTCAGGTTATTCTTGGCTCGTGCTGCACATTGTTGCACCTGGACCGGACCCCTGTGTAAACCCACTGTCATGTACAGGAACAGCTATGTGACACTGGAAACACACACAAGCTCAATGCATGCTTTCTGTTCAAGAGCCCTATGAAGACGTGGAGGTTAGATCTGACCGGAAATCGATGCCTTTGTCAAAATAAAAGAGAGAAAAAATATTTTGTGGGACAAAATAACCTGTAAATATCTAAGCATTTTATTTTAAACACTGAAGTTGATGGACTAAAGAAAATATATTCTTTTTTCTGCAAAAACTCTAATTTAGAGATTGTATCAGTTGTGATAAACTTGTAAACAACAACAAACACTTATGTGCTATAAAATACAAAGCCCATGCCCCAGGTAATATGACTTGGTCATAAATTTGATACTTATTTGTTCTTATGAAAATATCAACAGTGAAATATTGAAGGCAGCTTTTAAATGCAAATTGCTGATATAAAACATTAGCATGTAGTGAATACAGTAAAAATAATAATGTAAAAAGGATATAAAAATATTATGGGATAAATCTTGTGCCAGCAGGAAGTGAATTTGAATTACTCAGATTGAATCTGAATGTGCAGAATTTGAAACTGAATTCATTGGTTTGAAAATGAATTTTACTAAATAGAAACTGATTTTAAAGTTTTGTATCTGAATTAATTTGCTTTGAAACTGTATTTTGGTTTATTAAAAACTCAATTTGACTACTTTCACTTTCAGTTCCATAATTCAGGTTTTTGTGTCACATCCTGGTCCTTAACAAAGCCAGGCAGAGTAATCAAACACAGATCCACAGATTTATGTTTCACTTTGGTGAAGTTTCCCTTCTGMATGTAACAGAGTTGATAGAAAGAAAAACAGTTATTTTATTGCAGTGATTAATTTTATCTATATGTAGAAAATGTTACATTTACATCCTGTCATGGATCACATATTGGTCAGATGCTGCTGCTGACCGATCCATGATGTGATGTAAATGTAATGTGTTCTATATGTAAAATTAATCATTGAATTCAGTTTCAGTTTAGTGAAATTTATTTTCAAACCAATACATTCAATTTCAAATTATGCACATACAGACAGATATACAGCGGGTAAAATAAGTATTGAACACATCAACATTTTTCTCAGTAAATATATTACTAGAGGTGCTAAT